ACTCTCAACTCTTGGACCTAAGAAAGAAAGAGAAGGCAACAACTTTTCCCAGCTTCCTCCCCCGAGACCACATATGTCTGCCCTCCGTCCTGCTGGCCAACCCAGAACTGCTTGTTCAATTTCAAACACCAGGTAAGAATTTCTAGGTAGCTGGGAGCTGTTGAGAGGGGTCACAGAGACAATCAGGAATCAGGACTGCAGATCTTACATGATAGATGCGCCCCACAAGTAACCATGTACAACCACGAAACAGCAAGGGGGCCAGCGGTGGGCTGTAAAATTTCAGCAGGGGCCAAGTGTGGTGGTACAGGGAAGCTGAGGCAGGATTGCCACAAGCTCGAGGCCAGCCTGAATTACAAAAAAGACCAAAAGAAAAGCTTCACCGGGGAGGGGGCATCTGAATAGGACCCAGCAGCACCTCTTAGGCTCCAATACCAAAGTCCCATGTTCAAAAACTCTGGCCACAGCTAGGGAGTTAGCTCAGGGGTTCCTCCACCTACCTTACAAGCGCAAGGACCCAAGTTCAATCCCTGTTACCAAAAAATAAATAAATAAAAAGCTCTGGCCTCACTGGCTGTGTGGGCTCAGGCCAATTATGTCACCTCTCTAAGCCTTAGTTTCCTTAACTGTAAAATAACAGTTAAAACACCTACCTCACAGGGGCACTGCAGGCCTTAAGTGAGGTAACATATATAAAAGGCTTGGCACGTATCTCTCTAAGTAGCTGTGATGAGGAGGAGGAGGGAAGGAAACAGAGGAAGGACAATGGTGATCATTTCAATTCATCTGCACCCATATTTCTGGAATCTCCTGGCAGCTGGAGTCGGAGCCCATGTACAGACTGCACAATTTACAAAGCATTCTGCCTATTACCATTTCATAGAACACTCACAATAGACATATGAGGGGAAGAAATTCTCGGTGTCTTCACTTTACAGATGAGCAATCTGGATTTCGGAGATGGTGAGACAGGTCACACAGCTACAAAATGGTAGAGGAGGACACAACCCAGATGTTTCTGTGGCCCCTTTAACTGCACCCCCTCAGAGGGGAAATAGGAATCTGTGGCTTATTGGGAACAAGATTTTCTGTAAAACTGTGGACCCTGGGTGAGGAACCCAAGGTCCTACTTGTCAAAAAGAGTCTTCATCCCTTCTTCCCAAGGTGAAACAAGGCCCACCAGTATACTGTGGCCCTGGCCTTGTGCCAGGGTGCCCTACTCAGCCTGGGCTAGAGGAGGATCTACAGGAAAGGGTTTTAGGGTTCAAGCCAATCCCTCTGTGGGCTGCACATCTCTTTGGCACAAACAATAAACAAGCAGCAGAGAAAGACATGCTGAAAAGTAAGGAGCAGGTATCAGAGGCCCAGCTCCATCTGGGGCTGCCACACAGATGAGCCCAGTCCCAGAAAAGAGATGGACTACAACAATAGATTCACTGTCCAACAGTATACACACACACACACACACACACACACACACACACACACACACACACACACACACACACACACACACACACGCTAGATTGGGTCCTTACAATGTTCCTAGTCCCCAAGAACTGACAAGGAAAGTCTTGTGGGCCTGGGGCACCTGGAGCTGAGCTGAACAAAGTAGTAAGCCAAGCCTGATGCTCCCAGACCTCCTCTCCACAGCCCTGTTGTTGGTGCTACTGGGTGCTGTCTAGAGATGTGGTTGGTATTATTTAGAGATGAGGAAACTGAGGCTCAGAGGTATTATAATAATCACCCAGTGTCTTATAACTAGAGCAGACTTTCATCTGTCCAAAACTTATGTTTTGCTTTTTAAAATTCTCTGGGCCACTGAGGGTAAGTCCGTGATGGTTCTGCCAGGTGTGGTGGCACATGGCTGTAATCTCAACACTCTGGGAGGCTAAGGCAGGAAGATCATATGTTGGAGCCCAGCCTAGGCAATTTAGTGAGACCCTGTCTCAAAACAAAAAAGGAAGGGAGGGAGGAAGGAAGGAGAGAAGGAAGAGAGTGCTCAGCATGCAGCTCAGTATGAAGGCCCTGTGTTCAATCCTTAGCATCGAAGGAAAAAAAAAAAAAGATTGTGATGGCTCATTTGATGTGTCAGTTTGACTGGGCCACAGATATCTATCTAATCATTATTGTGAGTGTACCTACGAGGGTGTTTACAGATGACATTAACATTTCAATCTGAGCAGAGCAGATTGTCTCCCCAGAGTGGGCAGACCTTGTCTAATCCACTGGAAGCCTGAGTAGAAGACAAAAGGTTGAACAGTGGGAGCTCCTCCTGTCTAACTGCTTGAGCTGGGTCACTGGTCTTTTCCAGCCTTTGGAACTGGACTGAAACAATGGCTGTTCTTCAGCCTTGAGCCAACTGGCTTTTGGAATGGAATTTATACTATCAGCTCTCCAGGTTGTCAAGCCTTTGGGATTGGACTAGAAATATACATCAGCTCTCTGGGTTTCTAGTAATCCACTGTAGAGAGTGGAGCTTCTTAACCTCCAGAATCACTTGAGTCAAGATGTAAAATATAAGTATACACACACATATGCATACGTACAAACAAATACACACACACACACACACACACACACACACGCACGCACGCACGCACGTATGCACATCCTAGTTCTGTTTCTCTGGAGAACCTTTGACTAATACAAAGATCAAATCTTGAGTCTCCAAGCACAAGCTGACAAGATGTTTTGGTGCTGGAAGCCTCAGCTGCCAGGCTGTGCTTGAGGCCAGATATTTGAATGTCTAGAACAATTGTTTAATCTGATCCAAAAGTCCCCTCTGTTCCCAAGTTCCCAACAGGAAGCCTGGCCAGGGAGGAGCCCTCCCTGCCTGGCCAAATGAGCACAGCCAAGTAGCAGGAACCTTAACCTTTTATTTTTTTTTAAACCAAACCCCCCCCCCAAGTACAGTATTGGCTCCCTCCAGGTGCCCTATTATAAATAGCAATACTTGCAGTGTCCACTAGGTGGGACCAGTGAAGCAGCAGGAAGGGTAGAATCACATCTCCAGGAGGGAAGGCAGAGCAGGCAGAGGGGTGCAGTAGGCTGTAATCTTTGCTAGATTCCCAAATACTCCCAATTCCTTCTAGTGTGGGATGTCACCCACAGTGTAAAACTCAAAACTGGGGGCCCCAAGTACTTCAGTAGGTTGTCACTCTGTAGCCAATGTAGAATTTGAAGTCCTCCAATCAAGTTATTCCTTTGTGAGCCCCTACGCAAAATGGTCAAACACAAAGTGAAGTTGTTGCCCAAAGCCTCAGAGTGCCAGGCAGAGGCTCTTGCATTACTTGTGAGATTGGTTTCACTATAGAAAGCATCAGGCAGGATCTTTCACCAGGGAATCTAAAAATCCACAGATGAATACTCCAGCAAGGTGGTAATGCGAAAAGGAACGAAAAGGGGACAGAGAAGCACAGGCCATGAGAGAAAGGAGAGAAAGGAGAGAAGGGACGGGAGATGGCAAAGACCTGGCCCTGTGTGGGGATTCTATAGGCGTCTTCTGGCACCTGCGCGCAGTGGGGTAAGAGCTGAGGCCCCTTGGGAGAGGGGAAGTCTCTGAGCCTCTGAATTGCATCTGAGTCTCAGAGCCTCTGAGTGGTCTTTGACTGAGAGACAGAGATGGGAGCAAGAATTCACTCCTTCTTACCTTCTACAGGTTGGCCTGAGTTCAGGTCCCAGAACACCCTGACCCACTCCTCTATCAGGTGCAAACATCCCTGTCCCTGCATGTCTAAAATGTCTGCCTCTAACCCACCACCTCTCCTGAGGAGACCAGGGCAACAACACACCAGAATGCCGGCTGAGGGGTACCCGAAGATGACCACTCTCTCCCGTCCCCTCCACCTACCACCTGCCCCCCATCATCACTTCCCAAACTTGTACTGCCTCGCAGCCACGGAGCTCTGCCTCAGCCTGTTGCTATGGCAACAGTGTGGCTTCCCCCAAGTGGGAAGCTGGTTGCCAAGGCCCTTGTTGCCAAAGGCTATAACAGCCACCCCAGTGTGCGAAGAGGGGGTGAGAGCCTGCAGAGGGTGGGAAGGGGCAGAGGGTTCTCCAGAATGGTAGAGTCCACACAGCCTCCAGCCAGAGTGGGGGAGCGAGGCCCTGAGAGGGGAAACGTATCAACTGGCATCTCAGTGACACTTTCTGGAAAGGATGAGAGGGAAGAAATGGGAGCCCCACAAAACACACTCTGTCAGGCCTGAACCAAGCAGGACCAGACACTCTAGGAACCTACCCCCGAACACACATGCCACCAAGAGGAAGAGCCCTGAGAGATCTCTGTCTTGCTGGCTCATGTGTCTGCACACACAAGCCGAGCCCAGACTGAGTTGGTCCCTGTCACCAGACACAGCATTCATTATAAGGACTGCAGCCTTCCACACATTCCTACCCCCTACCCTGTCTTGGAGCAGCACGTACTTAATATTCCTAATAAAATGCATCTCTTGGGAGCCAAGCTCCCGGCTGTCAACAAAAGGGGAAGTGGACACCACCAGGGTTTATGCCTTTCCTGAGTCAGCAGAGCAGGCTGGAGAGCCCTTGGGTCCTCAGGGAACACCACAGAAGCAGCTTGTTCCAGCCCACAGACCAGCCTGGGCTTTGCAGGGCCTGCATCTGGACACTCACAATGCATGGCAGCCACTGGTCAGCCTGGTCCCTCCCAGACTCCCCTCCTCAGACTGCTGATGAAAGGGACTGCAAGGAGAACTATTGAGGAAGTGAGACATATTAGGGACAGTGGTGCCGATGCTACAGAAGAGGGACGCAGGTACAGAGGGGAGCAGGGAGCAGCAGGTGTTGGGGAAGAGGAGCCTGAGCCTGAGAGGCCCAGGACAGAATGAGATGCCAAGGGCACCAAGGACAGACACATCCACATTTCCCCAGGCACTGTCAGCAGCACAGCCCAGCACATGACACCCCAGGTTGTTCCATCACCCTCCCCAGAAACTTCCTCTCCCCAAACCCAGAAGGAAAAGCAGATGTGTACCTACCCCATGTGCCAGCCCCTCGGGTGGGGTGGGGGAGATGCTGTCCCCACCACCCTGGCTGCGGGCGCTGAGCTGGGGCGACATGGTGGGTGACTCGTCGATGTATGGCATGGTCTCTGAGCCCTCGGGGGGCCCCTTCTGCTCCTCATGCCCCTCTGCGTCGTAGTCGTCAGTCGCGTAGCTGAAGTCTGAGACAAGGAACAAGAAAGGCCACTGAGAATCCTCCACGAGGGCTGCCAGGGACTGGTAGCGCAGTGGGCGCCGGCGGCGGCCCCCGGCTGCC